CTTGGGCAATTCTGAGAATATAAAGTAACAGAGTGTGCCGCTATTGTTGATGAAAGTAAGTCTCGGTTTTTGTTGATGATGATAATGTTGCTGAATGAAATTTGAGGAGATATGCAAATGCAATAAATTGAAATACATATTACAAGAAAAGCAAATACAGTTTGAAGTCTTTTTTCCACACAGTTTCAAAGACAACATTACACAGATAATAAAGAAACAAACATTTCAAGTTTTTCACTTAAAATTGGACATATTTAAACACACAACACACACAGCAAAAGAAAAACAAAGATTATATTACATTGAAAACCCAATTGCAACAGCAACTAGTGCATATGTGATTTCCTTCAACTCTTGTGGTTACAGAGCCGAATCCTAATTGTTGCCAATGGGGGAGAAAAGAATAGATGAAAGAGAGAGAGAGAGAGATTTATTAAGAATAGAAAACTCATACTGAGTTGAATCAGAAATGGAAAATTGAAGATTAAAAGGCTTACATTTGTTGTACGGCTCCCAGCACATTGGCGAAAATATGTAGAAGGGGAAAAGGATGTCTTTTGCATTGGGATGGTCCCATTCCAATGATTCCCACCATTCTTTGGGGAATACCACAAATTTCTTCGAGGGAAGGAGGATGAGATGATTGGGCATTATCAAGCAAGAGAAAATTCAAAGGAATCCTATTTAGCTTCTCACACATGGAAATCATCAGACTCTGGATGGAATCACAAATCAACACACTGGAGCTGCTGCAGATGCTCTTCAATAAGGGCAATCTTGTCAATTTCAACTCTTCTAACTTGGGTAAAGTGACTTTTTCTTCTTCATGTGCTGATGACGATATCAGCTCCTCCATTTGAGAACAACTTGAAACCTCAATAGTCTCTAGAGATTGGAAGTAGCAGAGCAGCCATCCAGATGAGAATACCTTTTTTAATTGATCACATACTGCAACCCTAATTTCTTTAAGAGAGAAAAAGCTTGTGGGAGGTACACGTGGCGATAAACCAAGACCTTCTTCATCAAACACAGATTTCAGATCCTTTAAATTGGTAAGTTCCAAATATTCAAGATTTGGAAGTGGGTTGAACCCGAACCAAAAAACACTCTATATATTTTCACAACTATGAATTCCAATCTTCTTGATGGAATCACAAATCAAAGAACCGCTATAGATGGTCTTCAATTGGGGCAATTTTTTCAATTCCAACCTTTCTAAGTTGGGTAGAGTGACTTTTTCTCCTTCTTTAGATTCAGACCCTATTATCTCCTCCAGTTGTTTACAATTAAAAATCTCAATAGACTGTAGTTTCTGGAGATATCCCAACCACCTTACCGAGCATAACTTCTTTATTTTATTACAATGCCAAACACTAATATATTGAAGAGAGGAAAATGTGCCAGCTGGTAGTGATGCTGACTCAGCAATTGCTCCTACTTCCCCAAACACCATATTCGAGTTATGCAAAGAAACAAGATGCAGCTTCTCAAGGTTTTGAAGCTTCCCCCAAATTCCAATCGTCTCCCATTTAAATTCTGTTTTGGCACTGGGATCAGCAGTTACTAATAAATGCTGAAGTTTGGAGAGATTTTGTAGCGGTTTATCAAGTGTTTCAGATAATCTTCCATCAAGACCAAGATATTTTAGATTTGTTAACATGTTGAGGCCTTGCGGTAGTTCTTCAATTGATGTCCAGGAAAGGTCTAACTTCTTTAACCCTACAAGGTTGGATAATGCTGGTACCTCTCTTAAGGAATTACATTGACGTAGCAATAATGTAGTAAGCTTCTCCAATTTGGAGATAGAACTCGGCAGCCTACTTAGCTGCCAACTGTTGGAAAGATCAACAATCTTGAGCCCAAGCATATGCTCAAAAAAAGCTTCTGGAATTGTTGAAATCTTATTATAAAACAACAGCAAGGTTGTGAGCATAGGACACTTTGGAGACGGCATGCTTGAAGGAATTTCTATTATGTGATTCCTCATTAAAGATACCTTCAAAAGATTTTCTCTCCATTCATGCTCCTCTGGTAACTTCTCCAAGGCTATGCCGGCTTTCACCAAGAATTGAGGACTGATTTCCAG